TGATGTTTTTTATGAAAAGAAGGTTTGGTGGTAATTAATTAATTAAACCTAAAAACCTAGTTGATTTTAATTTTAAAAAAAGGTTAATTAATGAAATTCTAAAATGTTAAGAAAAACCTAAAACCTAATATTTTTTAGGGTTTACAAAAAAACAATTATTTTTAGGTTTGTGAAAAAAAAGTTATTGTTGTTTTATGGTTAAGTGAAATTAGGGTTAAGGGAAAGACATAAGGAAAAATCAAGTTGTAAAAAAAATAAAACACAAATTCCAGTTGTGGGTGTTGAACCCACGCCCTTAGCCTTCCCACCAACAAGGTTCACCACTGCACCAAGTGTGCGCTGGTGTTAGCAAAACACGCGCCATTCAATATGTAATCAACTTACAAGGATTAGGAAAATATGAAAAAATAAGTGTCAAAAGCAGGGATCAAACTCATGCCTTATTGTACAAATGCCTTAATGTGCGCTCGCTTTCCACAGGGGTGACTATACATCCGGTAAAGTAAATGAAAACAATTAAAAATATAATAAACCCAAATCATATGACCGGAGAAACGCTGGAGCCCTAACTCTGGTCGTCTTCTCCGGCGAGCTTGTTTTCTCCAACCTGTAAATCAGTAATTGTTAGTGATTCCCAGGGACCCTACCCCCTAATTCAGGACTTGCAAGTTCAATAGGAGTATCAGTTTTGGCTGGTTCTCATTGTACAAGGAGATACAAAACAAATAGCTTAAAACAGCTCAAGCATGGCCATATGCGATCCAGTCGTTATGGAGGCCATGCGATGGTCCAATCCTGCATTATTGCACCTCAGAAACACATTAGTGATGTTAGTGTGCATTAAAAAATAAAGAAAATAAAAATACATATTTATGCAAGAATGTAAAACCGATGATGCATGTTCATGCGTTTCAGGTCCTTTGGATCATTACAAATGATCTAATCTTATACTACAACACTTCAGAGGTCGTTTGGAACGGCTGGTTTGCGTTGAGGAGGGCTGAAACTAGGGTTTGAAGTTTGGCCTAGTTTTGAATAATTTTGGAGTTTTTGGAAGATATTCTTGTGCAAGGGTTTTCGTGTGGCTGCTCTTGTCTGAATGAAGAAGATATATAATGCTTGAATTAGGTCAAAATATTGTGGGCTTGGACCTTGTAAGAAGGCTTGACTTTATCTTATTTTAATTTGACATTAAATAAATAAAAATCCAAACAAATATAATAAAAAACCCAAGGGGTGTATGAAGTGATTTAGAGGTTCATATTGAGACCTATAACACACATGGACCTTGAAACACAAGCCCATTAGCCCAAAAATCCAAGTTTGGTCACTTTTGATTTCATGCATTTGCTCAAAACTTCCCAACTTGCACTAATCATATCTCTCTCAATTTTTATCATTTTTTGATCATTTTTTCATTTGAAGACTTTATCTTGATGTAAGTTGCGTTGACAAAAAGTGTCTTTTTATTGACTTTTGAAATGACCTATAATGTTTTGGCCCATATCTCTCAAATGAAGCATTTTTTGGACTTGAGCTTAAAGAGTCAAAGTTGTATAGAATTGAATTTCCTTCAATATAAGCTTTGGTTGATAATTTTCTGATGAAGTATGTGAAAGTTATGCTTGGTCAAAGATTAGTTGACTTCTCCTTAAGAAAATCCTAATTTGGCAACTTTTGACTTTTGATGAATCTTGAGTTTTCTTGATGAATCTTGATGAATGTGACTTCAAAATCTTGATGTTGACCAAAAATCTTGAAGTTTGACTGTATGTTGACCATAATTAACTTTTTGTCCAATATAATTGATTTTTAGTTATCTGAGCAATTGATTGAGCAAACTTGTGATGTAAGGCTTGAAACTTGGTATGAGCATTCTTAGAGACATATAAGAAACCATGAAATCCACTTGAGTCCTTAGAAACCCAATCTTCCTAGAGAAAAGTGAAACCCTAGTTGTAGGTCAATTGCTTAGGAGGAGAATTTGTCTGATCAATTCTTCAGTAATCTTGAGCAAATGAAAGCACGAAAGGTGGACGTAGTCACTAAAGATTCGAAACCGCGACGGATGCAAAATTGTAAAAAAAAAAAAAAAACTTCTTTTCTCATCTCCACCATCCTATTTTTGTATACACCTTTTATAGCCAAAATACACAGATTTTCGAAGAGGTTCCTACAGAGTACCATAGATGTTTAGGGTGCTAATATCTTCCATTTACATAACCAACCCCCGTACCTATATTCTCTCCCCCTTTTTTCGGGTTTATTGCTCTTTTCTCATTTCCTTTGGAAACAATAAAGCACAATGGCGATTTTTATTTGATCTGTGCGAGTTAAGTTAATCTAATGGCTTAGTCTCAACATTTCTACCGCTACAATATGTTGCATGCCAAGCAACATAAATCAAAATGTTACTTGAGGAACTCAAGATAATGGAACCTAAGAAGATAAAGTTGTTTTTTGACAACAAGTTAGCTATTGACTTGGCGAATCACCCAGTGTGTCATAGTCGAAGTCAGCACATAGAAAGAAGGTACATTTTCTGAGGGATCAAGTTAAGAAAGGGAAGTTAGAGCTAAAGCATTGCAAAACAGAAGTGCAACTAGCTGACATATTCACCAAACCTCTGAAGAAAGTCAGATTCGATGAGTTAAAGAGAAGCATCAGGATGAGAAGTCTCGAGAACATGAATTAGAGGGTGTGCTAGAAGGTGTAATTCTTGTTCTGTCGAAATGAATGTATGAGAAGCATGTCGAACTAAGCTAGTTGTTTATAGTTTGTCAGCTGTATTTGACAAATTCAAATAGAGCAATTATGTAGTATGTCGAATTGGGCTTGGGAATTATATGCCTATATAACGGGCTTACTAGTTTGTAATTTTACAATGCAATGCAATCTCAATTCAGTTTTACAATTCAGTTAGAATCAATAACAAACTCCAAAATCTCTCCTCTCTCCCCTTTCTTCTTCTTTTTCTTCTTCTTTCTAAAATCATCTTTCTTGAAAATCCTTTGTTTCAACAACCACTCCCCTGATATTTTTATGATGAGTCAGTGTGTTTTATAGGTATTTATCTTATGATTCATATCAATTTCTTTTTAAATACTTACTTTCATCATGTAGAATAACTCATATAGGAGATTCTACCAAGGTTGAAACTTAATATGTGTATATGAAATTCATCTCAGATTTTATATACGGTCTCTAACTATTTTCCAGAGGACCAATAAAAATCTTTTGATAGGTTATAGATTCATCTTGATCCATGAGTAATATATCATATTGATCAGTTATGAGATATTTATATCTTTCAGGTTGGCGACGTATCATGGTTGATCTACGATGATATTGTTCTACATGAGCAGTTTACTCTTCTACAATTTCTTGTATTCAGCTTTCAAAACAAAGATATTTCTTTTTATGGGCACATTTATTTTTATTTTTTTTTTTAAATAATTTTTATAGTGTTACATAATTTTGTGAAAACAAAATTTATAAAGAAACTTTTCATAAATGATTCAAATGAAAATTTGGTGTTAATAGTTATTCTTAAAATAGTATTTTAGGCGTTTCATCATTTTATTGATTTTTCTTAATTTCCAAATTTTAAAAAATCATTTAATTTTGAAGTTATTTCAAATAACTTTTCATAAATATTATTTTTGAAATACAACTTTTAAAAAAAAATTGTGATTTCGACTGTATTTTGATATTTATAATATATATTTATGTTATAGCATGCCAAAATTAATATTTCAATTAAAAAAAACAAACATAAAAAAGTTTATGATATTTTAAAAAATGGTTTTATAGAATATATTTTTTAAAATAAAAAAAATTATTTTTTTAAAATTAAAAAAAAATTGACCCTATATTAAAAAAAAAAACGTTTTTTATTGCGGGTTTTTGAAGTGGCACCCCTCAAATCGAAATAGTTTGATGAAACCATGGCATAAATGAAACATCTTAAAATTACTATATGTGGAGAAGTGGCACCCTCAAATCGAAATAGTTTGACGAAGACATGGCATAAATGAAACGTCGAAGAATACAATTGATTTGGAAAAAAAATTATGTTACCGAAAATTTCATTGGATTGACTCAAAATTTTATGAAATCTCTAAAAATGTTTTGTGAAATTGCTCAAAATTGCACAACAAATCTAAAAACATCTTTGAAGATTTGAGCAAATACATCATAAACTCCTAAGTGAAGTCAACTTATAAACTCATTTCATCCTATAATCTTTCTAACACCAAATCAATGATATATCAAAGTAACTATACAATCAAACAAGTTAACAAAGTGATTGATTCGATTTGTATATCATACCATCACATGCATCAAATGAGTGTATATTCTTCATAATAGACATAACACACTAAAAATATTATTAGTAATCTAAATAACATATAGAAAGAGACGAGAAAGCAAGAGTTAGGTAGGTGGTGAGCAAAGCACATGAAATCTCACATGTCATGTACCCACAAGCCAACATCCACATGCTAATGCCCATCCAATCAATAACACCCACGTGGGACCCTCACCATTCACATACTATTTCCATTACCAAAATCAATCCCTCGTGATCCAACGTTTCTAGATTCATTCCTAAAACTCCACCATCAATCTGAGCCGTGCGTTCATAGTGGTTGTTCACTGTATTCATCATCTATTATTAACAACTGTACCTGTTTCTTGGTTGTCCCCTATAACTTCAACAACATGCTCTAGCATGTCCTACATGTGAAAGACAGTTACACCGTGTGGAGTCGGCCCCACATCCATAAACATTGTCTTGTCAATAGCTGATTTGCCGGTGACGAAGCCCGTGTGACACGGCATGGTCGGTTTATTATCCTCCACACGAGAATAAGAGGTATGTTACTATAAAATTCATGAGAGATCTATCTTTCTCTCTACCTCTATCTCATTCCATATTCTCTCTCATATTCATTCCTGAAGAAATTCATATAGACATAGCAGGTAATTATCAAGAAATGGAGAGCTATATCGAAACAGATTTGATTGTTAATCACAAGGACACGGAGTTAAGGTTGGGATTACCTGGAACTATTGTTAGAAGCAACAAGAGATCTTTTTCACCGGAAACAAGTGTTGAAGAGTCTTCCGTTTGCAATGCTTCTAGTTCCTCAACCATAAGTGATCATGACCAATGCAGTGTTCAACAACCTTCAAAGTAAGTGGTGATAATATGATAGGATACTAAAAGTTTTGTTGATTTTCTTGAATCTATAACTAATGAATGAAAAATGATGGATATTGCAGGGTACAAGTAGTTGGATGGCCACCAATTAGATCATTTAGGAAGAACAGATTACAACAGAAGAAAGATGAAGAAGGAAGTGGAATGTACGTGAAAGTGAGCATGGCTGGTGCACCTTACTTGAGAAAGATAGATCTCAATGTTTACAAAAGTTATTCAGAACTTCTCATAGCTTTGGAAAATTTGTTCAACTGCACATTTGGTAAGAACCATATAGGAAGAAACAATTATTAGTTGCTCAACTTTTCACTATTTTATAGTATCATTAACATTAACTCTGGTTAATCAAACAGGTGAATATTCAGAAAGAGAAGGGTATAAGGGATCTGAGCATGCACCTACTTATGAGGATAAGGATGGTGATTGGATGTTGGTTGGAGATGTTCCATGGAAGTAAGTTACATTACTTAAATCAGCTTCTTTTAATTTGTTCCGTGCAATAAACTAATTAATATTTCTGTATTTGTATTGATTGCAGCATGTTCATATCCTCCTGCAAGAGGTTGAAGATAGTGAAAGGATCAGAGGCAAAGGGGTTGGAATGTTTATGACCATTTTAAAATAAACAAAAGCAAAAACCATGGATGCATATACTATGCATGAAGCCTAGGAAGTTAAACATACAAAACGGATGGTCCAACCGATTTGAAAGCATATGATCTTGATCCAACCGTCAACAACACTGATAGTGTGAAAAACATAGCTGCCAAGAATCGGAATTTGAGCTCTTAAGAGGTGGCTTTTAAGTCATCATTTCTTAAAATATAAGCCTTTAAGAAACTTCTAAAGCCAGTGCTATTTTGATTGTATATATGATATGTATAATTAAACTTTATTACAAGTATCTTTTGGCGTAATAAGTAGTTTTAGTTGGCAGATTCTATTTGGATGTTAGAAGATACTTATAAGTGGTTAAGCTTGTTTGGAGTTTCTTAGAATTCAACTAACTTCTAACTCCTCTGTCACTATAAAAAAATACTCTTATTTGGGACATGAATTTGACGTCATAATATGAAAAATCACGTCATTATAAATTATTTGCGACGTGTACGTTCACGTGGCTGGAGAGGAGTGATGAATAGTTTGGGACGTGATTTTCATGTCATAAAGTTGTGACGTGAAAATCACGTCGCAACAAATTTTTATAGGAAATACAACACCGCAAGAAAAGCAAGCGCAACAGCGTTAAAGTAACTTTAGTTGCGATTTATTTTTCACGTCACTAAATAATTACAATTAATGCCTCTTACGCATTCAACTTTTTTTTTTATATAAAAATGAAGTTGCGACGTGATTTTCACAATTTGTGATGTGAAAATCACGTCACTAATTTTTTTTAATTTAATAACTGAATTTGTTTTTCATTTATATAAATTCAATTTAATAAATTTAATATAATAAATTAAAATAATAAATTCAATAGAAAATAAATTCAATATATAATAAATTTAATATATTAAATTTAATATAATAAAATTAATAAATTAAAAAAAGGTCACAATTCATCAAGACATGTCAAAATATGAAACTTGTTCATCAAGAAATTAAAAAGTCAAGATTTCATTTTGAAAAGTCAAAATTTCTAAACTCAGAAATTTTTCTAAGTGTTGAAAATTCATGTTTTTTTTTCATAATTTTGAGCCAAATTTCCACCATGATGAAAGATGATTCGAAGGAAACTTCCAACATGAAATTTGTAGATCTCAATGAGAACTAAAACATTGTAGAACATAACTTTTTCTAGAAATGCATGAATTTCAAGTTATGATTTTAAGAAGATATGTTCATGAAACTTGAAAAACTTAGTAAAATTTTTGCCCTAATTTAGGCAAGATTTTGACATAACTTCATGGCAGTTTTTCACATAGTTCCAAAATGAATTTTCAAAAATATCAAACTTAGAGGTTGTAAAGGATGTTACAATCTTTCCAAAATGTCCAAGAACTCATTGAGATCATACTTTAGCAAGGAGAATCGAAGGCAAGAAGTTAGGGTTTTCATTCTTGAATTACAAGTCATTTCTTGATGAACACATAATTCAATTTCAATGTTAGGCTGCATAATCTTGCTTTGCAGACCTTCTAACTTGTGTATCTATCCATCATTAATGAATTACACAAATTTTTGAGCTATAATCTAAGTGGTTTAAGCTTTATCCCATTCACATTGCTATTTTGGGAAGAAAGTGAAGAATAAAATTTTTGAAAAGCAAGCTTTATGCACAAAGTCAATTCTTGAGTCTCTAACTTGTTCCCTCTGATCACACTCTATCTTCAAAGTCAAAAGCAAGTGTGTTTAAAGCATAATCACTCTATCTTAGCAAGTACACAAGACTTTGAAATTTGGATTTCTCAAAAATCACATGTTATGCTTAAACTTGTGATTTTGAATTCTGATCAACAACAAGCTTCCAAACTTGTTGCTTATAAATAGAGGCACTATTTGTAATCTAGGACATGAGCTTGAACACCTTGAAACACTCTCAAACTCCCTCTAGCCAGAAATTGCTTCAAAACACCATTGTTGTGCAAGTTCTGACTTTACATACCAAACTTCCATTTCCCTCATGCATTTCTTGGCCTTTTAGTTTTAAAAGCTTCCTCATATAAAATACATACCATCCCACACCCTGTTACACGGTTGTAACATCATCTTCATCAACTTCCATATCCAAAAACAGAGCATTGCAGTTGGATTTATCCAGGCTATTTCAGCAACTTTCAATTCAAGCTAAGCATTGCATTAGCTTCCTAGAGACTCGAGGAAGCTAACCTGATCATTGCAGCACCTTGAATCAAGCTGAAACTCATTTCATGATTTCCAGTTTTGAGGTATTTTTCTTGAACTTCTATCTTCTCATTTAGACATTGTTAGGCTTGCATTTGTGAAGATAAAATGTAGACATCATTGCTCTGAAACTATACATGTCCATAGATTTTATTTATGTTGCTTGAGTAGGGAGAATTTTGAGTTTGAACCTCTGAAAATATTTAGGTCAGAATTTGGTACTGTTAGAAATTCATGCTCATCTTTGAGAATTAGCTTAAGTTATTTACATATTCAGAATCTTGAGGAAATTTCTAACAAGTTTGATGTTGGAAGTTTTGTGAATGAATGAGAAATGAATGAGTTACAAGTTCTCTGGTTGGAGGTTGAAGATGAAGTTCATTCAGGACTTGATTTATGTTATATATTTATTGTTTTGTTTATATCAACAGATGTATAGTCACCTCAGTGGTAAAGCGTGCGCCTGTTAACCTTTGGGACCTGGGTTTGAGCCCCAGTGGTACTCTTTTGTTCATTTTTCATATTTTTCACTCTATTTTTGTTCAGCTGCAGCGCCTGGGCCTTTTGGTTGGGTTTTTCATTTTTTTATATTCTTCTAACCCCCCTGACTATGTTTACACTCCTGACTCATTATTTTATTTTCCATTTTATTTATTTTCTCTTTATTTTTATTTTTATTTCATATTTTCTTTATTATTTTTATTATTACTATTATTATCATTATTATTATTTTTATTAATAAAATAATCCAAAATATTTTTATTTATTATTTACACTTATGCATTTTTTCTTTATAAAACAAAAAGACCAAAAATATTTTTCTTAATAAAATTAATTTCTTTTTTTTTAATAATTAATATTTAGACTTAGGTTTAATTATTATATTATTTTATTTTCTTAATTAAAATTAACTTAGAACTTAGTTTTTCTTTTAATTAATTCATTTTCATTTTATTTTTATTAAGTTAAAACCTTTTTCATAAAAAATTCCTTAAAATACTTTTTAATTTAAATTCTTTCTTAATTAGTTTAAGTTAATTTTATTTAATTTTAATTAATCATCTCTCTTAATTAGGTTAAAATCCCTTTCATAAAAATCCAAACAAAATCATTTCTTTTTCCATTTGCATTTGTACTTTTTTTTTAATTCTTGCACATATATTCAATGTTGGTTGTAATAGTTAATTAGGTTTAATTTTCTTGCAAAATCCCCATTTGTAAATTTGTTCACCCCCTCCCCTAATGATGTAATAGCTTAGTATTTTTACTTTCCGCAATTTATTGCTTTATATAAATGCTAGTAAATTAGGATTTGTATGGAAAGATTAAAATCAACAAGTTAGCAAACCCTAATCCAAGATAAACAAGAATGTAAATCAAACACATTTGCACACTTGCACCCTTATGGTGATTCCACTTTGTTGCCTTATAAAAATGGCCATGTTATGCATGTGGAATATCTTAGCAAAAAGCAATCAAAAATACAAGATCATAGTCCCTCGATGACGCTATCAAATGTTGCCTTTCAAAATGATCTTAGTCCCTCAAAGAAAAATGCTAAGATATCTTACAACATTGCTATCATGACTATACGATGACCCATGTCCGTCCCTTTACTTCCAAAGATAAGGCTTTGTACCAAATCAATGGTAAGATAGCAATATCAAAGGAAATGAAGAAATGAATTAACACTTTTGAGTAGGTAGATTGTTCCTAGTTGCTTGCTCATTTTCAAATCAAACACTCTTGCTTATTTTCAAAACAAACACCAACACTTTCAAAACATTTTTCAAACTTGAAGCATTTTCCAAAGATCAACACTTTGTATACGTTCTTACGAACGAGAACTATTACAAAGTTTGCCTAAACGATGGCGCCTTTTAAAAATACTTTCAAAACCATACAAAGCACATTTTCAAACAAAAGCAAGTGATCTAGCAAGCAACTAAGAGCCCATAGATAACTATGGATGAAAACGGTGCTAACACCTTCCCTTTTCATAATCTACCCCCTGAACTCAAGAAACAATCTCAAAGGTCTTTCCTGTTCTTTTCAACCTTTCCTTTTGGATAAAAGAAAAGTCAGTGACGACTCTTGCTAACCGCAACATTTGCGATAAAACGTAAAACAACCAAGTCAGTTCTCCCACTGTATCACCGAATTAACGACTCTTTTGGGGATAATGTTGAAAGTGGGAATATCTTAGGGCTATATCACCTTTATTTGCTTTCATTGTTTGATTTGTTTGCTTTACATTTTTGTTCCTTGTTTGGGTTTGTTTTAATCCTCTACCCGGATTTGGGATACCTTATAGGTAAGTAGCAATACATTGTGGAAACTGTGCGGGGTATACCGATATGGTCTAAGCAATAGCTATGTTAGTGTGACACATTTATGGGTACCGGTAGCCCTTGAATAGTCAAGGAGAATACGGGGCCGATGTATGGTGTTATGAAGCACTAACTGACTTTAGAACCTTTACTTGACCAATTTTGGTCATTAGGAAGTAGTGAGATAACTGGCTTTGGTGCAGTCTGAAGTTGGTTGATACTCGATACTACACTCATTGAGGTTTGACTCCTTGGGATATTTCGGTCGCCATTAAATAGGCTCGCGCTGAAACCATGCCCAACAAGAAAGATTTGTGCTATTGAGGTCCCTTATAACCCGGTTACTATTTCTAGGACATGTTTTGAGCCAACTAAACTTCAATAGGGTACTTACCTATAAGAATCCATGCAATCCTAAACCTAAGGACTTGTTT